GCGGTCATGTTCGGTGTCTCTTTGTGTTCCTCATGTGTCTCCTGTTTGCAGCTCTCCAGCGAGGTGTGTGTGTGTGTGTGTGTGTGTGTGTGTGTGTGTGTGTGTGTGTGTGTGTGTGTGTGTGTGTGTGTGTGTGTGTGATGTCCTTCTTCTTCTTCTTGTTTAATGGCGGGTGGCAACCAACTTTCAGGTGCATTTCCGCCACCTACTGAATGGGAGTGTGAGTCGAAGTGGGGAGTATCCTACTTAAAAAACAAAACAAAAATAAATAAATAAAATTAAAATAAAAAACTAAATTCTAACAAGTAATCCACTGTCCCTTAAAAAGTCTATGACTAACTTATACACCACTAGTCCCCCATTTAACAGAATACCCAACTCAAATTCCTTATATCCTTTAACTTTTAATTTTTGAACCAATAGTGGATGTCCTTCCCCAGTCAGGTCTGGTGTCCTTCCTGCTCCTCCTTCCTGATTAGTTATTGCTTTCACCTGTTCTCTCCCCTCACACCTGCAGCTTATCTGCCTCCCATCATGCCCCAGTGTATTTAAGCCCCGTCTGTGTCTCAGTGTCTTGTCGGTCCATTGTTTGTGTGTCAGCGTTGTTTTGTGCTGCAAGTGAGCTTTTGTTACCTCGCCTCTAGGTGTCGTGCTCTGTGTGAGCATTCGTTCTCCTGTACTCAGGATTTTGTTTTTGGCTTCCTGCCATTTTGGATTTTGGTTCATCTCCTTAATAAAAAGGATTTTACTTTTAAACGCTCCTGCTTCGTGCCATCTGGGGTATCTGCATCTTGAGTCCTAACCATCCTCCTCGTTCTCAACGTGACAGGAGGATGCCATCTGCTGTCAGGAAGCATTACAGTCCCACTTTTTAGGTCTGTCAGCAGAATCCGTTTGCCTCTGAGCCATGGACGTCACTAGGATTGAGATATAGGGGGGGCTTAGCCCCAGGAGGTTGACCTTGAACATTTTTTTCACACCCTGCAAAAACTGTCAATTAATTCATTACATGAAGAACATTTAACAAAACCTACTTTTTTACCACTTTCTTTTCCTTTCCTACCTTTGTGCATTTTCTCTCTTCTTTTTATAAAAAAACACTTCATCAGTTCATTAGTGGGGTCTATGTTGAAGAAAGATTTTATATAAGTCCATTAAAAATTAGATTTGTTATATTTCCAAATAAAGCTATTCATTTCAGTCTACTGCACTTAACAGGGGGAAATGTTGCAGTCATTTGTTTAATTTGTTTAATTACAACTTGCTTGATTATAAATGTTACTGAAATATGACAAAGAACAAATGAATAATTGTCAAACTTTTATTCTGCCAAATGAGTGTGCAGTTGACAGTTTTAATATATGAATAACACTGCTATGATATGGAATAAAGGAGTATGTAATTAACAATTACAAGACAAAATAACAGTATATATGAAAATTAGGCCTGGGACTTAATTAAAATTTTTAATCTAATTAATTAGAGGCTTTGTAATTAATTAATCTAAATTAATTGCATTTTAATTGTTCAGGAAAATGTGCTCTCAAAGCAAAACTTAATTAAAATTATGAGACAGAGAATTAAACATTAGACATAGTTATTACTGTAAAACTAAAGCTTTTAATAAAAAATGCATTTTAATTAATCAAATGTCCCTGTGTGATATGAAACAAGACCCAAATCAACTAAAATTTATAATTACAAATAGAAAACGCCTGCAAAGGGTTCCTGAGCCTTTAAATAGTCTCTGTCTAGTTGAATGACTGAAATAAATTTGACTTTGCACCAGATTATAATTTTTCCAGTTTTACTTGTTTGTATAATTGGGAGTTTTTATTAGCATTTCTACTCATAATGTAGTAAAAACACATAAATAATAATCCTTCAAAATGACAGTAGAACAGGCACAAATATGATCTAGGACAGGGGTGTCAAACTCATTTTAGCTCAGGGGCCACATTGAGGGAAATCTAGTCCCAAGTTGGTTGGACCGGTAAATTAAAAACAACTTCAGATTGTTTTCTTTGTTTTAATACAATCAATATGAAACAAGGCTGGAGCCTGAGGACAATGTATCCAAAATAGTACAAGTACAACACCTGAAGTGTACTTGAAAATTTGAAAAGTAAATAAAAATAAAAAACATTCCTCAGCGATTCAAAGAGCTTACAGATCACATGGCTAGACCAGTTTCATGCAGCACTTAAAGTATATTTGACTCATTTTACTTTACATCTTTTAGCTTTCACCAGCACATCAATATCAGAAGTCACATCCTGAGTGGCGCCAACTTCAGGATGTGATTCAAGTTCTTGTGTGAGCCTTGAGCGCAGCTTTGTTTTATTTATACTCGTTACAGAGAAAACTTGCTCACAATGATACGTTTATTTTCACTCTACATTGTAAAGTATGAAAATAAAGTTTACACAACCATCTCGCGGGCCACATGTTTGACACCCCTGACTAGAACTTAAATGTACTAACTTTTAACACCAGAGCAGGCGTGACATATTCTGAGAATGATCAGAAACACCAACTGGTTCCAGTTGGATGACTGGAGGATGATGGGAAGATAAAAGATCATGGCGAGGAAATAATGATCTGACGAACAGGTGAGCGGACCTTCCTTACATGGGAAGTCCTGATGTCACGTTAATACGGGGATACTGCAGACCCGCAGATTCACGCCTGCAGCAGCGAATCTGGTGTGATCTCCAGCCTGATCACAACTTCCTCGTTCCTCGCTGCCCCTGATGCACTTAAGCATCCGCCCCTTAGCTGATGACAGCTTCAACACACCTGCTGCTTAATGATAGTAATGCATGTGATGTTAGACAGAGACTCGTCTCAGAAACGTATAACTCCCCGACAGCATTGTTTAGAAAATCATCAGAAAAGTTTTAGAGTGTTTCTGTTTTAACTTAAACTTCTGTGTTCAACTTTAACTTTCACGTTGTTTGTGATTGTTTACAGAGTAGTGAGAACACGGAGCGTTCTCCCAGCGGCAGCCTCTCGTTTGTCTGACTACTTTCATAAACTACTGTTAGGGCACAGAATTATTCTGTCTGGTGCTTTCAGCGCTGCACAGATGTTACGTAAATGTTAAAAATATAGCTTACTGCTACTTTTGTAAAGTTTCCGGTGCCACCGGGCAGCCGAAGAAGAGACGATCTCTGAAAAATGTCCGCGACACGACTCCGTTGTTGTCTGGAAGTTTTTTTTTTCCAAGTTAAGAAAAGAGGCGGACGTGTTTCCTAAATCCTGCATCAGTCCAAGCAAGGCAACTATTCCGTTTTAGTAGCCATTAGCACTGTGCATTGTTGTGTGCGTCAGTGATATTCTGTCTACGAGGAAGTCGTGCAATGACAAAGGTTCCGCCGTGCTCGAAATGCAAGCTGCGATTAAATGCGTGAAATTTTTTTAGTGTGTCGTTTTTTTTTCTAATTAATCAAAATAACGCGTTAAGGTCCCAGCCCTAAAAAACTCAAAGATAGGGGGGCTTGTGATTATTTTAGGGGGGCTGAAGCCCCCCTAAAACGGACCTAACGACGTCAGCGCTCTGAGTTCTGGTAGCACAAATAACCTGATGTTTGTCGCACTGAGCTCAAAACTATAAAGCAAGTGTGTCCATACAGTGGCACGGGGCCATTTGCAGCCCTCTTTGCTATTTTATGCGGCTCCAATGACATTTCTAAAATGATTATTTTTTCTCTACAGCAGGATGATGATGTGAATTGACACTTTTTAAGAAAATGTTTGATTTTGTCCTTTAGTTTTTTTTATTAAGAAGTTTCAAACAACAACATTCAACAACAAACTTCCTATTTGTAACATTATCAACTCAAAACCTTCCCTTCCCAGTCACCATGTCCCACTCTTGTCAACAAGTAGTCCCTCAAGCCTAATTTATACGTCTCCTTCTGCGTTGATGTGGAGACACGAAACGCCATTAAGCATTGGCGCAAGAGCTTTCCGACAAGCTCACAGAGGGTGACGGAGACATGCCCCAATGTTTAACTAAGTGACAGAGACCATGAGAGATTGCATGTGATTGTTCAGGACGCCCCTTCCTGCAAATTTGTCAACAGCGCTGCCCTTGCCTCCCCAAAAAATAAAGATATTTAGCAGCAGACATGGAGCAGATTGAAGGGAGCATCGTGGGAAAAGTCTGAAAGTATGAACATTTATTCTCCTGTGACTGAAGGAGTACAAAATATGAAGCAAGCGTTTTATTCGGGGATGGAAAAGACGAGAAACGTGAGTTTAGAGGTGCTGATTGCATGAAGAGGTGGACGGGGGACAAATTTGTCTGTGTTCTCTGAAATACATTAAAACAACGTAAACACAATAGTAGAAACACGATCATGGACCGGATATGTGACTGTAATGGTGGCAGGATACCGCAGAATAGCGCTACGCCCTATGATGTCCTGGCGGGAAATTGTTTTGCAACAATCCCCAGCTGACGAAGTCTGAAGCCAATGCGTGTGCGTCTACCTTGTGGAGCTAACGGAGATGTACAAAATTAGGCTCAAAGGTTACCCATCAAGTCCATCCAAGATCCTGTGGTCACTGCCTTACTGATCCTTGCTGATGAGAGTCCCACAGGCGATGCCGAAGCCAGCGCACAGAAGACAAGCTGTTTGGCAGTTTCAAGAGTTAAAATATTTTTTCATTGCAGTCAATTCTGCAAGCCAGATGCTACAGGCTTCCTCTGTATGTGATAGCCGTTAGCACGTGGACAACAGGATCCAAGGGGAGAGGGACACCACTTAAGCCAGTAGGGCAACAAAGTACTTGAACCCAGAGGTTAAAGATGATTGGAGTTTTTAGAGGCCCTCTCAACATTACGTCAAAATATCAGGTTTAAGGGCCTGGGTGGACAAATCACCTTCCAGGTGTCCAGGTGTGACACTCTAACAGGTTGTTATCAATATATGAAACTTTCTGTTTGGACACATCTTGTAATTAGCTGAACACTGGGCGGTCCCTCAGTCCCG